TTTTTGTGCTGTAATTGTCCAACCATAATTCAATTGTGAGCAGTAAACTCCATGTCCTCAGGAGTTTTAATCCATTTATAAAGAGGTGTGTTATTTGACCCTTAAAGGTACAGCAGCCTTTTTGTATTCAGCATTAACATCTTCTAAAGCTAAAGATTCAATTAAATTTTCTTTAGCACTTGGATCGCATATTGCTTTATTTAGAGCTGTAGTTAGACTTTGTAAAAAGATTTATTTGAACCCTGGGTTATCTTTGTATACAGTTCAGTTTGTCCCTGTTGTTCAACCTTATCCCAACCACTTAAAGCTATGTTGCATAATACTGTTCCAGGACATTGTTTTAGGACATCATCATCAAAGGTAACCTGTATTCTTAATTCAGAATATTGACCTTCACTTAGTAATTGATTCTTGACAATATCAATGCTTCTAGCCTTATTTTGTAGCTCCATGAATGAAGCCTCATCTTTCTACAATATCAGCCATTTTAACTGAGGGCCAAGCCATAGAGTGGTTATTATTAAATCTCACCAATCTTTTGGAGTTATATGATTATGTGGCCCAGTTATTAAGTATCTGTTTGATCTATGTTAAGTGTAGGCCATAATTTGTTATTGCTTCCTTAAATCTTTTAAAATCCTGTGCTTCTATAGGTTGCCATTTGAATTCTCAATAAGGTTGTGGGTTTCTCTCATCTTCTGATAATTCCTTTATCAATGCTGGGAAAATCATTTTAAGTTTCTTAACAGATATAGATTATCCTGAAGTCGTGTTACAAGATGGTGTAATATGTTCTGACCTTGCTTCTTCTGTCTCTATCTTTGTGTTTGTTTCAATTTTTATTTAGACTTGTTTGTAAATTTTCAACCTTTCCTTTATGATTATCATCTTTGTATATTTTCCATTCTTTTTTTCTTTCATTGATTGATAAATTAATTCACTTTACATCACAATATCATCCCCCACCTAACAGGACCCCCTTCACACAGTTCCTTCCTCCACTCCATTGTCCCCTTCTTCTCTAAAAAGGGGAACTCTCCCTGTCCAGCATATCACCCTACACTGGAAGATAAAGTTACTGCAAGACTAAATGCATCCTCTTTCACTTTGGACAGACAACACATCCCAGTTAGGGAAACAGGATCCATAGGCAGGAAACAGGTTGAAGGACAACTATCACTTCAGTTGTTGTGTGACCTACATGAAAACCAAGATGGATATCTGCTACATATATGTGGGAAGCCTAATTCTAGTCCATGCTCACTCTTTGATTGTAGTTTAGTGTCTGGGAGATCATAAGGGTCCAGGTTAGTTGACTCTGTTCCTGTGGAGTCTTTATCATCTTTGGGTTCCTCAGTTCTACTTTCAACTGTTCCATAAGATTCCTTGACCTCCATCTAATAATAGGCTGTGGGTTTCTCCATTTGTTTCCATTGGCTGCTGGTGGAAACTCTCAGGGAACAGTTATGCTAGGTTCTTGTCTACAAGAATAACAGAGTATCATTAATAGTGTCAGGAATTGATTATAGCCCATTTGTGTAGGTTTCAATTCAGGCAAGTCATTCAGTTGGCCAATCCTTCCATCTCTGCTCCATCTTTGTCTTTACATATCTTCTCTGGCCAGTGGTATGTGGGTGTGTTGCTGTCCATAACACTTCACTGGGAGTATTTCTTGGCTACAGAAGATATCCATTTTAGTCTCCATATCCCTGCACTGCTAGGAGTTTCAGGTAGAATTACTTTCAGACTCCCTGGCACCTCCCCCTGTCCCAGGTTGCTGGCACATTCTAGAGATGGCCCACTGCGCAGTGCTGATTTCTATTTTCTCTCCTGTACTCTTCCTACACCCGATCCCACTGACCCCATTCCCTTCTTCATCTCCTCTCCCACCAAGATCCCTCTATCCATCTACCCCCAATATCTATTTTATATGCCCTTCTGAGAGAGATTCAGTAATTTTCTCTTGGGCCTTCCTTGTTATTTGTCTTCATTGGGTTTGTAGATTATAGCATGGTTATCCTGTATTTTATGATTTATACCCACTTATTACATACCATGTCTATATTTTGTGGGCCTGGATTACCTAATTCAGGATGATAATATATAGTTCCATCCATTTGCCTGCAAAATTCTTAATGTTCTTATTTTTAAAAGCTGAGTATTATTTCATTGGGTAAATCAACCATATTTTCTTTATCCATTCTTCAGTTGCAGGACATCTGGGTTGTTTACAGTTTCTGGCTATTATGAATATAGCTGCTATGAATATAATTGAGCAAGTGTCCTTCTGGGATAATGGAATGTCTTTTAGGTATATGCCTAGGAGTGATATAGCGGCATCTTGAGGTACAACTATTCCCAATATTCTGAGACACTGACAAATTGATTTCCAAAGTGCTCATACAAGTTTGCACTCCTAAAAGCAATGAAGGAGTGTTACTCTTGCTCCATATCCCATTCCTGTTCCTTGGTGTGTGTGCTGTTCCTTGAGTTTTTATGTTAGTCACTCTGAAGCATGTAAGGTGGACTCTCAGAATCATTTTGATTTGTGCTTCCCTCATGAATAAGGACATTGAACATTCTTTAAGTTTTCTGGCCCATTAGAGATTTCTCTGTTGAGAACTATGTTTAACTCTGTACCTATTTTCAATTGGGTTATTTGGGTTGTTGATGTCTATCTTCTTGAGTTCTTTATAAATTTTAGATATTAGCCCTCTGTCAGATATCAAGTTGGTGAAAATGTTTCACTAATTTGTAGGCCATCATTCTGTTCTTTTAGCAGTGTTCTTTGCCTTAGAGAAACTTTTCACTTTCATAAGGTTGCATTTATTAATTGTTGAACTTAGTGCCTGATCTATGGGTGTTCTGTTCAGGAAGTTGTCTCCTACATGAATGAGTTCAAGGCTACTCTCTACTTTCTGTTCTATTAGGTTTAGTGTATCCAGTTTTCCTTTGAGATATTTGATCCACTTGGACTTGAGTTTTGTGCAAAGTAATAAATATGAATCTATTTGTATTATACTATATGCAGAATCCAGTTAGACAATCACCGTTTCTTGAACAGGCTCTTCTTTTTCCATTGTATGGTTTTGCCTTCTTTGTCAAAAATCAGGTGTCTCTAGCTAGGTCGGTTAATTTCTAGGACCTCAGTTCAATTCCATTGATCAACCTGTCTGTATACCAATATCATGAAATTTTCATAACTATTTATCTGTAGTATAGCTTGCAGTCAGGGATGGTGATAAGTAATATTTCCAGAAGTTGTTTGTTTTGTTTGTTTGTTTATTCAAATTATTCCTATAATTTCTCTGTATTCTGTGTTCCATGGAAAGTCTTTTTCTGGTACTCTAAATTTCCTTTGGTTAGATAATATTTGTAGATGTTAATAGATACAGTCTCACTAGACCCTACATGTATATGTATGTAGCTAAATATTCTGGGTTTTGTTGTCTTTCCATATAAAGATGAGAATTGTTCTTTCAAGATCTGTAGAGAATTGTGTTGAAATTTTGATGGGAATCCCATTGAATCTGTAGATTGCTTTTAAGAATATGTCTGTTTTCACCATGTGAATCATACCAATTCATAAACATGGAAGCTCTTTCAAACTTCTGATACTTTCTTCAATTTCTTTCTTCATAAACTTGAAGTTCTTGTCATATAGGTCCTTCACTTGCTTTGTTACAGTTACACTAAGATATTTCATATTATTAGTGGCTATTACAAAGAGGATTTTCTCCCTAACTCCTTTCTCAGTCCATTTATCATTTGTATAGATGAGTGCTAGTGACTTTTTTGAGATAATTTTATGTCTAGTCACTTTGCTGAAGTTGTTTATAAGGTGTCACAGTATTCTGGTAGAATTTTGTTGGGTCTTTTATGTATACTATCATGTCATCTGTGAACTACAATACTTGGACACTTTTATTGACAATTTATATCCCCTTAATCTCTTTTAGTTGTCTTATTGCTCTAATTAGGACTTGAAGTACTATGTTGATGAACTTCAAGGAAGTCTCAAAAAAATTACCACTGCCTGTGATGCACAGTATATGGGGACCCAATATACAAAATCAATATATTCCTTAAGATCAAGAAAAAAATGTGTCATCACGCTCCAAACAACAGTAATATATAAATGCTACTAACCCTGGTGTAAGCTTAGCCAAAATATACATGTAGGGTCTACTAAGACTGTATCTATTAACATCTACAGATAGTATCTATCCAAAGGAAATTTAGAGTACTACAAAAAGACTTTCCATGGAACATAGAACACAAAGCAATTATAGGAATAATTTGAATAATCATCTATCAAGAAATCAGAACAAAAATTTCCTATAAAATTAAAAGTGAAATCAGGGTTGTTGTTTTTAAAAGAAAATCCCAATCATCCAGTTTTACCAAATGAAGACTCAAGAGCCAGATGATGGGTTGAAAGCCTGCCTAGCTTAGAGAGACAGAGAAAGAACCCAGCTGACATTCCTCCTCAATCGTCTTCCCAGAAAGAGAGTCTGCTTTCTTTCTCTGCACTGTCTTAAAAACCCTTCAGATCGAGTGTTCCGCTTTTCTGCTTCCTATGTCTCTCTATTTGACTTCTTGACTTCATCCACTCTATTTGTTTTTTCCGGTGTTAACTCCATGTCAAACAGCTGCTTGCTCTGCTTGTTAACCTACTGTTGACTTTATTTAATCTTGTTTACAATTATCACAGAGCTCTAGGATAAAAGGTAGGTGCTAGGATAGAGCCACAGTATAACCAGAGACAGATTTTTCTAGTATACAATCTCACTATGTGATCAAATGTCCTGCAACATAGGGCCTCTGTTTATATCTTTTCTAGTCTTATCTAATTATACAGAAAAACGAAGCAAAAACTCCATATGCACATTAGTATGCATGGAGTATTTTTAAAAAGCATCAATGACTTTGTGATGGATGGCATTACTATGGATATTTATTATTTAAACCCACCTCAGGATTGTTATCTATTTTTACAGGTACCATCTGGACTCAGCAGATCATCAGTTCGATTTATTTTGAGGGTCACCGGAACAACACTGAAAACATACCAACAGCAGATAGAGCACCGTTCTTGGAGTACAATAATTATAATTTAGACTATGCCAAAATATCATCACCTCGCATCTTCAGTTCCCACCTTCCATATTACTTAGTTCCAAGAGGTCTCAAGGAAAAAAAGGCTAAAGTATGTAAGAGAACTTACTACTTTTTGCATAGATAAAATACTTTAACTATTGGATAATATCATTACTTCAGAATTTGTTCTTAGCATTCTTCTGACAGCTTCCCTAGAATCTATGTCATGAATGGAACTGCAGAGCCACACATAGCAGAATACTCAACTGAAGGAGGTGGTGTTGTGTTTCTGAAGAAAATGAATAACCATGTATTGCTAAAATCAGCAAAGGATGAATTCTTATGTCTTCTTTTAGTAACTTGACACATCATGCTTAAATTTTTGTCAGCATGGTAGTTATTGGATGATGACTCACACTGGTTTTAATGTGCATAGCTGTACTCAATAATGAGATAAAATCTGTTTGATATTTATTAGCCATGATCAGTTATGACTCTGTGAAAAGACTCTACTATGTACCTAGATTTTTCATTACTATAAATTTAGTATAATTTTCCTACTGATTTAATTCTGTCACTTTCAGATACTAATATAGTTATGCTTGTGACATTTCTTATGTTTTATAAATCTTTATAATTTTGTGCTTTAATTTGACTAGAATAGTCTTATTTATAGTATCAATCATATCGACTTTTTAAAAATATAAATTCATTACTTAACTATTTTCTTTTTATCATATTTTTATTATTTAAACCATTTTAAATTAAATATATTTTGGCCATTTTTCTACCTCTTTCCCAAGTCCTTTCAGATTCTTTCCCCATCCCTCCACCCAACTTTAAGTTCTTCTTAAAAAACAAAACAAAACAAAACAAAAAAACAAAGAAAATCCTAATATAATATCAAGACTCTAAGAAATTTTTCCTTGTTTCAAGACTTGAACTACATCTATTATTGATCTAATACTTGTAATATTCTTGTTAATGATTATTCATTTCCCACATCCTTCCAGATCCTCTCCCTACTCCTATCCTCTCTACATTATTTCTCAAAAGAAAAACCCAAATAAAAATCTATTAGAACAAGACCTCACTTAAGAAATCTTTCCTTGCTTCAAGACAAGAAATGTGATTATTTTTGGTATAATGCTGTTAATATACTAATTAGTTATTATGCATAACAGTATGAATGTTTAAAATTAATTATTAATTAATATGACAAATACTGTGCCCCTCCCATTTACCCCATTACAGAGTCCCTTCCCATCCTCCTTCCCCTTCTCCTCTGAGAGGGTGGCCTCCTTGGGTATCCCAAAACTCTGGTGCATCAAGACCCATATGGTTAGGCACATCTTCTACTGAAGGCAGAAAAGGCCACACAGTATACTTATGGTTTGGTTCAGCATGTGTATGCTCTTTGGTTGGTGTCTTAGTCTCTGAGAGCTCCCAAGACTCTAGGTTATTTGATTATGTTAGTCTTTCTGTGGAGTATCTATCTCCTTCAGGACCTTCAATCCTTTCTACAACTCTTCTGTAAGAGTCTCTGATATCCTTCCAGTTGTTGGCTGGGGATATCTGTATCTGCTTTAGTCAGCTGGTGGGCAGAGCCTCTCAGAGGACAATTATGCTATGCTCTGCTTTTCAAGTTTAAAAGAATATCACTAATAGTGTCAGGTATTTGTGCTTGCCAGTGCCATTTTGGATGGAAAGTTTTGTGGGTGGGTTGGTGTTCCTATCCCTCACTGGAGGTCCTGCCAGGTTATGGAAGGTAGCCTCTTCTGGTTTTATGTCCTCACTCTCCAAACAAATTCCCTTCCTCTTTCTGCCTCCTATGACTATGTTATTGCCCCCCCCTTATAATTGAGACTCAAACATCCTCGATTGTCTGAGCCTTCCTTCTTTTTTAACTTCTTTGAGTCTGTGGGTTGTATCCTGCACTTCCTGGCTAATATCCAGTCATCAGTACGTACATACCATGCATGTCCTTATGGTCTGGGTTATCTCACTCAGGATGGTATTTTCTAGTACCATCCACTTGCCTGCAAAATTTATGATGCCCTTGTTTTTAGTAGCTGAATAGTACTCCATTGTATAAATGAACCACATTTTCTGCATCCCGAAACTGGGTCTTTTCTATTTTCTGGTTATTATGAATAAAATGAATTATAAATGGTTATAAATGAATAAATATAGTGGAACATGAATCCTTGTGGAGTATCTTCTGGATATTTGGCCAGGAGCTGTATAGCAAGGTCTCTAGTTAAAACTTTTTCCAGTTTTCTGAGAAACTGCCTGATTGATTTCCAGAGTGGATGTGCAAGTTTTCAATCCTAACAGTAATGGAGGTGTGCTGCTCTTTCTCCACATCCTCACCAGGATGTGCTCTTGCTTGAGTATTTGATCTTAGACATTCTGATTGTTGTAAGGTGGAATCTCAGGGTCATTTTGATTTGTATTTCCCTATTGGCTAAAGATGTCAAACATCTATTTAAGTGCTTCTGAGCCATTTGAGATTCCTCTGTTGAAAATTTTCTGTTTAGAGCTGCACCGTATTTTTAATTTGATTTTTTTGGTTGGGTAGAGTCTAACTTCTTCAGTTCTTTGCATATTTTTGGATATTAGCCCTCTGTTGGTTGTAGAGCTAATGAAATTCTTTTCCCAACTGGTAGGTTGCCATTTTGTCCTGTTGACATTGTTCTTTGCCTTACAGGATCTTTTAAGTTTCCTAAGGTCCCCTTTATCAATTGTTGACCGTAGAGCCTGAGACATTGATATTCTGTTCAGGAAATTGTCTCCTGTACAAATGCATTCATGGCTATGTCCCATTTTCTCTTCTATGAGATTTAGAATATCCAATTTTTTTGTAAGGGACTTGATCCACTTCGACTTGAGGTTTATGCAGTTTATTTATTTATATGATAAATATGAATCTACTTGTATTTTTCTACTTGCAGACATCCAGTTAGATATGTACAATTTCTTGTACATGATTTTTTTTCCAATGTATGATTTTTGCTTTTTTTTGTCAAAGATCAAATGTCCTTAGGTGTGTCAGTTTATTTCTGGGTCTTCCATTCAATTTCATTGATCAACCTGTTTGTTTCTATGCAGACACAATACAGTTTTTATAACTATTGCTTTATACTACAGCTGGAAATCAGTGGTGATGATGCCTCCAGAAGTTATCTTATAATTGAGGATTAGTTTAGCTATCCTGGGTCTTTTGCTTTTCCCTATGAAGTTGAGAACTTCTCTTTCAAAGTTTTTAAAGAACTGTGCTAGAATTTTGATGGGAATTCCATTCAAACTGGAGATTTTGCTTTTGGTTAAGATGGCTATTTTCTCTATGTTAATCCTACTGATCCATAAGCATGGGATCTCTCTCTATCTTCTGAGATCTTCATCAGTTTCTATCTTCAGGGAATTGAAGTTCTTTTCATACTGAACTTTCACTTGCTTGATTGAATTTACAACAAGATATTTTATATTATTTATGGCTTGTATGAAGAGTATAGTTTCTCAATTTCTTTTTCAGCCCACTTATCATTTGTGTAAAGGAGGGCTACTAATTTCTTTGAGTTAATTTTATAACTAGCCAATTAGCTGAAGTTGTTTATCAGCTATATTTTCTGGTAAAATTTTGGGGTTGCTTATATATACAATCATATCATCCATAAATGGTGATACATTGACTTCTTTTTTTCAATTTGTAACCACTAGATCTCATTTTGTTGTTTTATAGCTCTAGCTAGTATTTCAATCCCTATATTGAATAAATAGGGAGAGAGTAGGCAGCCTTGTCTTGTCATGATTTAGTGGGATAGCTTTGTTTCTCTACATTTAATTTCATGTTTGGTATTGTCTTGTTGTATTTTGCTTTTACAATGTTTAGGTGTGTGCTTTGTATCCCTGATCTGTCTAAGACTTTTAACATGAAGTGGAGTTGGATTTTGTTGAAGGGTTTTCAGCATCTAGTGAGATGATGATGTGATTTTTTTTCCTTTCAATTTATTTATATAGTGGGTTACGTTGATAGATTTTCATATATTGAACAATCCTTGTATTCCTGGGATAAAGCTTACTTGATCATGGTGAATGATATTTTTGATGTGTTCTTGGATTTGGCTTGCAAGAATTGTATTGAGTAGTTTGACATTGATGGTCATGAAATTTGCTTTGTTGAGTCTTTGTGTGGTTTAGGTATCAGGGTGGCTGTGGCCTCATAGAATTAGTTAGCTAGTGTTCTTTCTGTTTTTATTTTGTGTAGTAGTTTGAGGAGTTTTGGTATTAGCTCTTCTTTGAATGTCTGGTAAGATTCTGCACTAAAACTATCTGGCTTTGAAATTGTTTTGATTGCGAGATTTTTATATCACTGCCTTTATTTCTACAGGGGTTATAAGACCGCATAGATAGTTTACCAGATCTTAATTTACTTTTGTTAAGGTGCATCTGTCTAGAAAATCATCCATTTCATTTAGATTTTCCATTTTTGTCTAGTACATCAGATTTTTGAAATAAGACTTGATTTTTTTTTTCTCGGTTTTGCTTATAATGTTTCCCTGTTTATTTCTAATTTTGTTAACTTGTATATTGCCTCTGTGCCTTTTGGGTATTTTTAGCTAGAAGTTTGTCTATCTTGTTGATTTTCTTAAAGATCCAACTTTTGGTTTTTTAGATTCTTTTTATTGTTCTCTTTGTTTCTAACTGATTGATTTCAGCTCTGAGTTTGACTGTTTCCTGCCATCTACTCTTCTTGAGTTTGTTTGTTTCTTTTTGTTCTAGAGTTTTCAGGTATGCTGTTAAATTGCTAGTAGGAGACTTCTCCAATTCTTTATGAAGGCACTTAATGCTATCAATTTTCTTTTAGCAGTGCTATTATCATGTTCCTTATACTTGGGAATGTCATGTATTTATTTTCCTTGATCTCTAGAAATTCTTTAATTTCTTTATTTCTTCCCTGACCAAGTTATCATTGAATAGATAGTTGTTCAGTTTCCATGAATATGTGGGCTTTCTGTTGTTTCTGTTGTTAAATTCCAGCCTTATTCTATGGTGATTTGATAAGATGCAAGGGTATATTTCAATCTTCTTATGTCTTTTGAGGCTTATGTTGTTCCTAAATATATGATCAATTTTGAATAAGGTTTCATGAGGTACTGAGAAGAGGTATTTTGTTTTGGGGTGAAGGTTTCTGTAGATATCTGTCACTTCCATTTGAATCATAGCGTCTGTTAATTTAATTATTAGTCTGCTTAGTTTCTCTTTCAAGGACCTGTCCATTGGTAAGAGTGGATTGTTGAAGTCCCCCTTATTATTGTAGAGGGTTCAATGTGTCATTTGAGGTTTAGTAATTTTTTTTAATGAATGTGGATACTATTTCTTTTGGGATATAGATGTTCAGAACTAAAATGTCATCCCGGTGGATTTTTTCTTTAATGGGTATGAAGTGTCCTTCCCCATCTCTTTTGATTATTTTTGGCTTGTAGTATATTTTATTAGATATTAGAATGGTTACTCCAGTTTGTTTCTTCAGTCCATTTGTTTGGAAAACCTTTTTCCAGCCCATTGTTCTGAGGTACTATCTGCTTTGTTGCCGAAGTATGTTTTTTGTATGTAGTAGATTGATGGACACCATTTAAGTATCCAGTTTGTTAGCCTGTGTCTTTTTATTGGTGAATTGAGTCCATTGATGTTGAGAGATACTGATGACAAATGATTGTTAGTTCCTGTCATTTTGTTGTTGGTGGTGATACTGTGTGTGTGTGTGTGCGTGTGCGTGTGCATGTGCATGTGTGTGTGTTTCCCTTATTTTGGTTTTGGTGTGAGATGATTAATTTCTTGTGTTTTCTTGGATGTCGTTACCTTCATTGTATTGGAATTTTCCTTTTGGTTTACTCTACAGGGGTGGATTAGTAGAAAGATATATTTAAACATTGGTGTGTCATGAAATGTCTTGGTTTCCCCATCTATGGTGATTGAAAGTTTCACTGGGTATAGTAGTTTGTGTTGGCATCTGTGGTCTCTTAGGATCTGCAAGACAGATGTCTAACATTCTCTGGCTTTTATAGTCTTTGTTGAGAGGTCTGGTTATGTTCTGATAGGTATGCCTTTGTATGTTACTTTGTCCTTTTCTTTGTGATTTTAATATTCCTTCTTTGTTTTGTGCATTTATTGTTTTCATTTTATTATGTTGCAAGAGTATTTTCTTTTCTGGTCCAATTTATTTGGTGTTTTGTAAGCTTCTTGTATGCTTATAGCCATCTCATTCTTTAGGTTAGGGAATTTTTTGGCCTATGATTTTGTTGAAGATATTTTCTGGTCCTTTAGACTGGGAATCTTCACCCTCTTTTAGTTTCATTGTTCTTAGGATGGGACTTTTCTTAGTGTCCTTAATTTTCTGGATGTTTAGTGTTAGAAACTTTTTACTCTTTCATCTTCATGACATACAATTTAAGATTTTGCTCTTCAGGTATGTCAGAACATCCACTGCTTACTGTAGTAGGAGAGCTAGCTTCTGATGGTGTAATATTGCAGTAGCGTCTGTTGATTGGGTTTTTATAATTTTGAGCATTTTCTTTGACAAATGTGTCATTTTCTTCTATGGTATCTTCTACACCTGAGACTTTCTCTTCCATCTTTTATATTCTGTTGGTGATGCTTCAGTCTGTAATTCCTGTTTGATTTCCTAGGTGTTCCATCTCCATCATTGCCTACAGTAGTGCTTTCTTTATTGATACTCTTTCCATTTTTTTAAGTCTTGGACTGTTCTATTCAATTCCTTCACCTGTTTGATTATATTTCTCTTTATTTCTTTAAGGGATTTATTTGTTTCTGTTTGATTATGTTTTCCTGTGTTTCTTCAAGATATTTATGTATATCCTCTTTAAAGGCCTCCATCATGTTCATGAGATGTGATTTAAGGTCAAAACCTTGCTTTTCAGGTGTGTTATAGCATCCAGGGCTTGCTGGGTTCTGATGATGCCTATTGCACTGACTTTTGTTGATTATGTTTTTGCACTTGCCTTTCAACATCTGGTTGTTTTTGGTGTTGGCTGGTCTTGTAGTCTCTCTGGGAGTAGTAAGCCTCTGGGATTGGTTGTCCCAGATGGCTGCAGGTTTTCCTGGATGTAGGCAGCACTGTGAGTTGGTATGTGGGTTGCTGATCCATGGTTGCAGGCGGATGTGTGGGCGGGAAGGAAGATGGACCTCTCAAGAATTTTCTTTCTATATGTGGGTATAGTTGATGCTTATTCCAAGATAATACTTCATTTAAAAATGTTTTCTACTTATTTTCAGTGCTACCCTCACTATATATCAAATATATCAGATAACTCAATCAATGTCATTTGTTATAGCCTCAATAAAAATGTGCTTACTTTGTTTACCAACTTTACAAATAACATAATTTCTAGAAAGCTGACTTGTTTTCTTGTACATGTATGAAATATCATGTAAATAAAAATATTAATTCATGTTTTTTAGTATGAAACAAGTTCATAACTAACAAAACGTTCATAACTGTTACCTGGATGAATATAAAAATTTATTTGAAAATAAATTATGTAATTATTCAGAATTTATTAGGATAACTAAGAATTACTAAAGCAACTTTCTGTGTTTTTTTTTTCTGCAGATTCTTTATATTTACAGAAATCCCAAAGATGTTTTGATCTCATATTTTCATTTTTCAAATTGGGTGGTTACCCTTGAAACTACAGATACCATAGACCTTTATCTGGAAAAATTTCTAGATGGAAAAGGTAACAACATTTATCCCTCTCACTAATTTAAAAAGGAGAGGTGACACTTGAACCATCTCAATGTAGGGAACATTTAGCAAAGAGATCGGGGGGCCAGTGCGATGCATATAATAATAATAATTTTGATCAACCCAACCTAATGCAGAACAGTTTTTCAGCCATTGGTAGGACCATGTGACAGATGTTAGCTTTACAATGCTGTGTTTTTTAGGAGATATTTTGTAAGATCATAAGATGTTTACAAATACTTTATTCATTTTCCCCTAGCTTATGACATAGGAAGAGTTATACAGATAAAGTTGAGAGCGAATGTGTGCTCTATATGACATATACTTGGACCAATACTGAGGCTTTCATTTTTCCTTTAACTGGAAATCAACAGTGAATTAATCTGGCAGTTGTATTTCTTAACCAGATAATTCCCCAATAACCTCTCAGAAAAACTAAGATTTATTAAAATTGTCTTGAAAAAACTACTGAGCAATTATTACTCCATTCTAAAACTCCAAGTTAGTCAGGTTTCCTCCCAGACTATATTCCCATCTTGCTAGAAATTTATCATCCTTTCTTGATTCCATTCTCTTCTCCACATGTTTTCTTCACTTCCCTTGTACCTCCTTCCTCCTCTCCTCTTTCTGTTTATAACCATCTTAGAATCAGAAGTCTCACCTATTCTGTTTCTAAAGCTTTGTATTGACTAGGTAGATTTTATTGGCAAGGCAGAGAATGAAAGAGAAGGAAAGTTCATGCAAATTTGATGTAGGAGCTTCTAAGAATTAACATAAAAAGTCATATTTAAGAAACACAAGAGTTAACTTTACAAAATATTTGAAAATATTGTGCCTACACAAATAATTTCTTTAAAGTAGTCATATAGACATTCAATTATAGGGATTTCATTTTATTTCCCGACGGTCTAAACAAGCAAAGAAAACAAATTGAGTTTTGTGTTCAGTATGCATAATGCCTTCACTTTGGTACTCAGTAACTTGTCCTTCAGTTGTAGGAAGCCGTTGGTTTGATCACATTAGAGGGTGGTATGAGCACAGACATGACTTCAATATAATGTTCCTGAGCTATGAAGATTTGAAAAAGGTAAGATGCGAAAGCTGTGTCAAAATTATTTCTCATCTTCGAGTTTAAGCAACACAGTACCAGGTATCCTCATTGCTTGTGCTCCTTGGTCTTCCCGTTGAAGGAGGTTCCTGACACCTACGTCTTCTTTATTGACTGGTGGGTTTCTGGGCTCTCTTCTCTCTGTAGCCATCCATTGGGATTCCTACTAATGTCAATCAAGACAATCTTATTTATTTAGTGTAGGCTTGTCTTTTTCAGAAATTATCAACCTTTATTTGTATTAGTAGATTTGGTGTGGTATTTCCATCTATGAACATAGCATGCATTGGCAATCACGCTCTTACACTTTCACTCATTCTTTGCTCAGGACTCTTCATAATTACTAATAATCATAGTTCAACATTAAAATGACAAGTTTTTTGTTAGTTTGTCTGTCTGTCTGTTTGTTTGTTTTTTTGCTTTTTGTTTTTCTACATTGGAGAGAGATGTGGCAACTATTTCTCTTCATTGGCTGGTTTCACTTAATCTGGTCTTTTATGGTGCATCTATTTGCATCAATGGGTATTTACCTTTCTTTGTGTATTTTTAAATAATACATATATATAGCATTTTTTTCTATATCAAACCATTGCATGTCTTGACTATAGAGAAAGTCCTTAAATCATCATTTTCTTATAGCTAGTTCCAATTTGTTCTCCAGCCAGTCCTGCCACTCCTGCTTGCTTTCTTACTATGTGTGTTCAACAACTACCTTTATTCCTCACTTTCCACAATCCCTTCTCATGAGCTCCTGTCTATTTTGTGATCAAACCCACACAGAAATGCATACTCATGTATATAATTTCATGTATGATTTCCACATTTAAAAGAAAACTTGGAGTGTTTTTCTTTCTGAATCTATCTTATTTCAGCTAACACATTGATATGCAGTCCTATCCATTTACATATAAGTGTCCTGTTGTAATGTTTCTTATATTTGTACAAAACTCCACTGTGTACCACATCTTTCTCTATTCAATCAACTATTAATGAACTTCTTGTCTATTTTTTTTGGCTACCATGAAGATTAAAGCTACAAAAACTGACACATGGGGTTAGTGAGTGGACTCAGATGGTAAAGATAATTTTCTGACAATGTGAGTCTGATCCTTGGGACCCACAAGGTGGAAGAAACTCACTATGAGATATTACCCTCTGACCTATATAATCATTCATGTGTGTATTCAGAAACAGATGTAACAAGCATATACACGTACTTGTACAAATTTTAAAGATATAAATGGGTGTCTAAGTGTTTATATGCTGTGCTGACTTAGAAAACACTGTCACAAGGTCACATAGTAGTTTTATTTTAAGATTTTAAAAAAATGAAACCTTCATGTTGAATTCTGTAGTAAATGCACCAGGTTATAATCTTATTGACAGTGTATGGCATTCTCTCTGCATGCATATTAGAATATTTTTTCTTTTTAAATACATATTTATATATGTTTATTTGGTTACATATGAAGGTAATAATAACAATTTAACACAAAGAGGCCATGAGTTTAAAGGGGGAATTATAGGAGGGGCTGGCAGGAGGATGAGGAAAAGGGAAAACAATGTTACTGTATTTTTAAATAAAATAATATAAACTATAATAAAATAAAATTTAAATATATTAAAATTAAATTTAAATTTTTTTGCCTTGTTGAAAGCTTTGCAGAGGTACAATTTTCATTCTACAAAATGTGCCCATTTTAACTGTGTAAGTTCACAGTTGTTTGTGACTTCATCATGTTAAGAAATAATCGTTACAATTTAGTTGTAGAACAGTCTCATAATCTGCGGGGCGCCCCCTTGCTGATAAGGAGAACGCCACACTCAGGCGTTCTTCTGACAGCGGTTTATTGTTACAGCTCTTTTAGATGGCAGTGAGGCGAGGGACGCCAAGCCCCAAAAACCTGTGGTTTATATAGAGCTTTAGGAGACGTGCCACACACTCATTGGCTCTTATGATATCGCCAAATTAGCATACTGGTTTTCACGCCTTACGCAGGCGCACATTCAAGCAAGGCTCGCAAGAAGAACCAGGAAGCAGGAAACCGGTGCCATGTTGCAATGGCGAACGCAGCTCCTAACATCTGCCCCTTTTTTATTAAATTGCTGATACAATTTTCCAACTGTTATTTCGCCGATCAAGCCCACCGTTCTACCAGTAAGGCGTTCAAGGCAGTTAAACAGTTGTGAGACCCTCCACACTTATCTCCAGTGCAATGGGAACCCGAGCCCTGGGAAGTGTGGAGGACTACCACTCAGGATTCCTGGTGCAATGGGAACAGGAGCCCTCAGGGTATCCCATTGAATGATAGTGTCTCATTGTTTAAGCATATTCAACCAAGCTTGAGGGGATGTTCCCTGCTCTAAGGCAAGCAGTGCTTGAGTGATAAGTACTTTATCTCTACGATGTTGTTTTTTAAATTTGCAGAGCAACCAGAGTGTGATCAGCACTCCCCCAAAGATCATACAGCCAAACATTCCCACCCCCACCCACTCCTTAAAAAAGGAGAAGGCGGACGTGAGCCAGGAAGTGAAGTCTTCAACATCAATCGGGTTTATTCTGGTCCCATTCAAAACAGCAATCGTGAGCAGGAGTTCTTCTTGTAGCTCCTCAGCCTGTTGTGACCAATTTCCTTGTAAAAAATTAGATAATTTAGTACTTTCTGTAAAAGACTCATTGTTATATTTCAAGGGTGTGATACACATGTGTTTAGTATGACTTACACAGCTTACTTGAAGAATATCAGCAATTTCTTCCATTTTGCTTTGTAATAGATCTACTTGCTGATTAGCAAGCAGTATCCCAGAAATCAAATGGCTATTCATTTTATGCTGTTTTACCATAGCATCTGCTGAGGCATTCACTATATTATTTATTGTTTCTGCTGCTTGAACTTGATTGGCTAGGGCAATACCCGCAGTCACCGCTGCAGCAGCCGACATTGCAATGGCCGTCACAATGGCCGCCGTGATGCCAAAATCTCTCTTTTCTCTAATTAAAGAGATTGTTGGAAATTTATCGGGATCGGCATCCACCAGTATAGGGACAAAGGTCGGAAGCCGCACCAGCAGTGCTAAAGATGCGGACCCATTCCAGCATTCTGTCAAATGGCAGGTGACATTCGCACAATCTAATATGCTGCTTTTATTTTTAAATTCTGCTAAAATAAAAAAAAAGGGAGCCAAAACACAAACTGCTGCCCTTTTGGCTGAATAATTTGCCAACAAGTTATTATATTTAATATCATTCAATATCACTGGTGTAGTATTAGTTCTGGTTGCTGATACATTCCAAATGTCATGTTGTGACTCACCTAGAGTTGCAAAGGCTGATAAACTGGTAGCAGCCCCCACTAAATTTGTCAACACCCATTGATAAAATGGCCATTCGTTTACATTCCCTGTTTTATTTCCTGTCATAGCCATCCTTTTTAGAGGTGGCGATAAGGTGAACCCTCGAGATACTTCTACCTTAGGCATCCTTTTAGATTGGCAGTGCGTAAACAGTGGTGGAAATGACTGATCTGGAGGGCACCATGGCCACACTCTGACATTAGTGGCATTATTGGTTTGCCAATATGATCGTTCAAGTATGGTTACCTTACTTTTTAGCAATAATGTAGTGATATTCACAGGGGACTGTTTTTTGTTAGATGTATTTCCACTGGCCTCAGATTGTCCTGCCACTATGTTATTGAGTACCTCGAGCAGGACACCAGTGCCTATTTGGGAATCTACAAGTGGATCAATCCAGTGTCCCAATGTAGCATTGCGAAGTACAACGCATGGGGTCTCTGCCCTGTTTGTTATGGTGAAACACAAGGTATCATTTAATCTAATTTTTGATGCATTATATTTGACAGTCTCTTTGTTTAAAGGTATGGCACATGGTGCCTCCAGCTGACAGCTCGATGATGTAAACATTGGCAGTACTTTAGAGTTGGAATGTACTGGGATGGGAACTGGCCATGATCTTACCACAGCCCACAATGGTATACTTATCGCTCGCTCAAGCAGGCAGATCATCAGCAGGATCTTTAGCATTTTCTTCAGGGGTTGGTGAGTCCTCTTTCACAGTTCTGGTCAGTCTGCTTGGTATCCAGATTGGATTTTCTTGATCCTGTGGAAAAACACAGATAGCTCCCCTGGATCTCACTAAAACTGGATCTGGGCCCTTCCATTGGTTAGTTAAGACATTTTAACATATTTAACATATTCTTTTTGAGGACTTGGAGCCACATGTCTGTCAGCAGCAGATTGTCCATCAGAATCCAGATTTAAAAAATTTAAGGTAAATAGGGCTAGGGAGATAGATGTCTTAGGTCCCATGTTGGGGCCTATTCCTCCCTTTTGTTTTTGTAAATAAGTTTTCAACGTGCCATTGGCACGTTCCACAATCCCTTGTGCCTGAGAATTATATGGCAAGCCAGTTATATGACGGACACCAAGCCTCAGACAAAACTGTTGAAAAGTTTTAGACGTATAGGCTGGTGCATTATCAGTCTTCAGCTGAAGGGGCTTGCCCCAAGCAGCCCAGGCTTCAAGACAGTGAGTAATAACATGTGACACCTTCTCTCCAGCAAGGGGGGTGGCATGAATGATGCCAGAGCATGTATCCACAGATACATGAATAAATTTTTGTTTTCCAAAGGCATTGCAATGTGTAACATCCATTTGCCAGATATGAAGGGGTTGTAGACCTCTGGGATTAACTCCTATAGATGGAGAGGGTCTGAATTCTGCACAGGAGGTACATTTCAGAACAATATCTCGCGCTTCTGCACGAGTTAAATGAAACTTTAATCTTAGGGTATTAGCTGGTACATGATAGAGTTTATGGAATTCAGCTGCGCCTTCTAATGGTGAGCTTGCCCAAAATAGGTTTTTAGTGGCTTTATCAGCAATAGCATTAGCCTGAGACATAGGTCCAGGAAGCAATGAATGTGCTCTCATGTGTTGAATAAAAAATGGGTGACACC